ATATCTCATATTTTAAAGTTAACGAAGATCACGTAAATTGTACAACGTTTTCAATTATAAAAAAAAGAAATTGCATCTCAAGCAAAATTGCAATTATTGTTTGGATGACATTTTAAATAGATCTTGTGTTTAACAAAATATTTGTAAATATGCTTCTTACTATAAAGTGAATTATCGTGATGTAACCTACACATATCTGTGAAAAAACTGAAAGATATGTGTGAAGTCAACGCACTGATCCAGCGTGATTGACTATAGCCTAGTCCCTAACTCAGAATAGGCCCTCGTTGGGGACTTGTTGCAAATGATAGAATATTTTCATTCAGTGTCACCTACATATGTTAGTTTTTTTTTCATTAATTACTCATTTAGTGCGTGGAATTCGACTATTGAAAGACGGAATAGAAGCATTTCCGAGTAGCTGACAAAAAATGTCGGTCCGTGTTCGGTCACCGAGACCGGTGACAATACAATCAACAGTCGCTCTGCCGACAATGACCTTGGACTTGTCGGCTCGAATTGTTTCCTATGCGAATAAGTTTACATAACTTTTACATATAGGTACCACCAAAAAAACTATATTTTTCTCGATACAGTATTTTTCTCCAGCTATGTTTAAACGTGGGTTTTCACTTATACATTTGTATTTGAACATGTAGTTGCCTTTTTAATGAGAACTGGCATTCGCCCGCGATTCCGTCCGCGCAGAATTAATACATAATTAGTAACCTACGTGTTCTTTTATACTACATTTTACATCTATGCCAAATATCATCGAGTTCGGTACGGCCGTTTTAGATATATCTTCAAACATCCAGCCATCCATCTAGACATTCGCATTTATAATGTTAGTGAGATGAAAGGGATACTATGTTTTTATATGTTGTGTGTCTGTAGTGAAAAGCTATGGTTAGAATGAATTAATATGCATTATAAGATTCTTTATCAGTTGGTTCGTACGTTACATTACGACTGACCTAATTATTTAGGAACAAACATACCGTTGTATTTCAGTTTTACGACTATATAATTGTAAATTCGTTTACCCAAGAAATAAAAAAAAAATTGCCTCATGATAAATGAACGTGAAATGGAAGTTGTTAAAAAATTATCATAATATGTGTCATATTCATATAGATTATAACAACCTCTTTTGTAAAAACCTTTGATTATAAAATAACTACCTATTTACGCAAATAATGTGTATGTTGCGTAAGATTTAATTTATAACTTCAGTTGATTTGTTAGGTTGATTAAATATCAGGAGCAAAACTATTTCTTGAAAATTAAAATAAGTCTATAGCGAAATAAATAATATATTAACATTTTATTGGTACTTATTTTGTTGTAATTGAGATAGTTATTTCCCTTACATTCCATGAATAGAATTTTCCGTATTATAGAAGACATTGAGTAGACGGTCGTAGTATGAAAACGGCGGCAATCGCATGCCGACGTCACTCTGACAACAAGCGCGCGTGGATGTGGAAATTATCACTGAACGCACGCCGCACGCGTCATAACCTAAAATATGCCTGCCAGTTACGTTTATATAAAACAAGCTGTCGCTCGCGACCCCGTCCGCGCGGAATTAAAAAAAAATACTATGTTCTTCCAGATTAAGTTCTAGATCCATGCCAAATTTCATCGAGATCCAATCAGTCGTTCTAGTTACCTTCAAACAAACATCCATCCATCCATCTAAACATTCGCATTTATAATATTAGTAAGAGTAAGATTAAGACCTTTTTCCACTATTCAAAGCATATAATTATTTACAGTTTACATCTAGTTAACTTTGTGTTGTCACATCGTTAGAAGCGCAGCAAGTGCGTCTGAGGATTCATTACACGTAGTAAGGCTTCCAAAGCCTTTCACTCGACCAATAAAAATTAATTGTAATTGTATACAATATAAAATCAACACTTGTTCTTGCTTTATTTTTAAAAAAAGTTAGAAAAATATGGTACTAACTTTACGGTTTGTAACTTTTACGTGTAATATTTTTTTAATTTGTATTAAACAGAAACTCCTTGGAGTTGTCATTTATTTTTTTAAGTTATGTTGAAAGAAACGTAGTTGCCAGTTACAATGCATTCCCATGGCATCTATGTCCCAACGCTTACTCTTTGTTTATAGAAAGCATTGATAGATTATATATTAATTAATAAACAAACTTCAAACCATACAACATTGTAAGTAGCAATTGACTTGCCTTTTGATGTTCAATTAAACTCAATTTCATGTTTTTTTTAACTGACAGATCGCACATATCAATAAAATCAAGTTGTCTTTATTGCCGTCCGACTTTATCTTGTTATTATTTTTTTCATGAAATTTCTTAAAATATTTTTTAAAAATGAAACATGCACTCATTTCTCTCGATTTATCGTTAGCGTTACTTTGACGTCATTTTTGTAATAAATCAAGCCAAAATATGAAATACTTTGATGAATGGGACATAATATAAACACATTAAACTTGTGTTTTAGAATCAAATTGTTAGTAAAAATAGTTTTATGATATTAAATTTAAAAGTATAGATAAATTGTAATTATAAAAAGGAATTAGGACAGGCCACGCCCATGCACTTATACTGGCTGGTGATGATGACGTATAAAAAATTCTAAAATTTATTTTTAAATTACAAGACACACTTAAAAATAATTTTATTTTAGACAGTAGTGTAAAATGAAACGCTGTCATATTTATATTCATGGAAAAGTTTGGCGAAAGTAAAGTTTAGTCGTACTTTTTTTTTCATTCTAAAAATAACGTTCAACGTGCAAAATGTTCTTGGCATTCAAAGCAAAGACCATTTACATTATTGGAGCTTTATTACTTTAGGCGAAAAAGACGTAAAATTCCTTTTTTATGTCGACTTAATTCAATTTGGATAAAGTTGAAATGGGTTTTATGGTGATAACATCCTATGAATAGATTTTTATTACATATAGACAAGTGTTTCGGCAAAGGAAATCTACGTTTGTACATACTTTTTAGTCAAATGCTAATAATTTCTATTGACAGAAGAAATATCGAAATGCCAAAATTTCCCGCCATTTTAATTAACGAAAATGTAAAATAATATTTTATAATTATAATTTTATCATTGGCGATATAATTCTTAATTAGTTAATGTAAGTTGTCAAAGTACTGAAATGATAGCATAATTTAAATTAATAGACAATTTTAGATTAGCCCAGAGACAAGAATTGACGTTTTGGCGGCAATGAAGTAAAATGTTGCCAAGTTCTAGCTAAGGTAATATGACGTAGGTACATTTATACGTGACGGAAATGACCTACACATTCTATTATGAAATATCACGTTTCTATCTTAACGCGTAAGTAAATTGCCCTTAAAAAATTATCAATAAAAATTAAGACTAAATTACGTATTTTAACTTTAAAGTTACATAAAATTGCGTACATCATTAACATGAATAAACCTTGGATTACGAACATAATTCACTATATTTTTGGGCTACTATTTTATGTCCAAGAAAGTGGAATAAACTTAAAAATAGAAATCTGCCAAGATAACATTAGTCTGTGCGTAGGTGGAGTGCAAATAAATACAACAAATTAAAAGTAAATTTATAACAACTTATTATTATAATGTCAATTAAATCAAGATACAATAATCAGGAACTGAATTGCTTCTAATCTTTAATCGTAAAAAGCGATATCAGAAGATACGCGGATTTGTTCATGTAAAAGGTTCTATATGTGGTTACAACTGGATATTATCGATAATATAACGCATTAAAGACTTATCGATAACGTATTGTGTTTATTTTGCTGAGTGTTCTTCCGTTTGAACTGTCCGATGTAATTATACTAAATTGTAATATGTATGATATGAGGACATTCTATTATAGTAAATTGAAGTCATTCAATAAAAAAAAATTAAACACTAAATGACTTAGCTTTCATACTAATATTATAAATGCGAAAGTTTAGATAGATGGATGTTTGTCGTAGTGAAATTTGGCATAGATGTAGAACATAGTCTGGAAGAACACAGATGATACGTTTTTTTTTAAATTTCGCGCGGACGGAGTCGAGTGACATCTAGCGGGTGATAAATGTTATATTCCGTTACATGTAAAGTAATTGACATAATTTTCGTATCGAATGTTTGGTCGTTATTCGGTAATTGTAGGTATACTTTACAATATCCTGCCCGTTGACAATTGCAGATGATCGCCGGAAGGTGTCGCCGCGATTGTCCCACGATCACCACGTCACTCATCATCACAGACACTCGATGCTTTCTAAAAATAAACTGCAATACAACTTCTGTTGACCCCACGTATTATTCAATCTGCATGTAGATTATAAAAGTTTATAGATATGAAAATGTAGGTTTTTTTCTTAAGTTTCATACGGCAAATATTTACCAACATGAAACGCAATTAAAAAACCTTAAAAAAATCAACGAAACGCACGAATTTGCAAAAGTAAGGGATAAAAAGCAACAAATATACACATTCCATGACAAACATGACATATTCCATGACAAATTACCCATATTTAAATCAAAAATAGTTGGTGTATTGAATCCTAGTGAAGTCGCAGACGTCTAACATTCTGTTTCTTGTTTTGCGAAAGTATGTATATTGTTGTATACACGCTTTTAATTCTGGTTTAATTTACAATTCGTTTAAATACCAACTCATTAAATTCAGATTTTTTAGTTTAATATTGTTTGTAATTTACTCTATTTTCATACTCTTTTGATCTATTTTTTATTGTTTATGCACCAATACTTTATACATGTTGTGTTTGTCTGTAAGTGAAATTACATGTTTCCTTAAACCTTTTGTAATAGTGCTTAAAATGTATATAAGAACTCATGTACTTTTGTTGACGAACCAAATAAATAAATAAACAAAATTTACCAGTGACGTACTCAAGAAAATCCTTAATCTACGCCTAAAATAGTGAAAATATCATTCATTCGTTCATTAATTCATTCATTTGTTTCGTTCTCAGGTGGTCTCGGCACACGGCACTGGGTGACGTTCATGCTGTTCCTTGGCATGGCGAACGCGTACATAATGCGCACCAACATGTCCGTGGCCATCGTGGCTATGGTCAACCACACCGCGTTGCCCGTGCACAAGGAAGCGATGGACACCGAGTGCGGGAACGTCGATGCCAACGCTACCAATGTAAGTTATTTAAAAGGAGAAACCAATGTACGACTGGCTGATACATCAACTCGCACTCAAACTATTGTGCCCATAGACTTGAAATTTACCTCATTGATTTTTAATAATATGTAAGCAGATCCTAAGACATTTTTTTTTCAAGTATATAAGTATATCCACAAGAGATGGAAGAGGGAAGAAAGTTTGAGATTTTTAAAGTAAGTCGCAGGGCGATAACTGCTAGTGATTAATTTAAGAACACTTTCATTCTTATCTTTTGCAAATTGTTCTCCCTGGATTTTTTTAATTTTGGTATTGAACAACATTATACGCTTGGCAAATATTGATTAAAATGTCTTCTTATCCAAGGCGGCGGCGTCACAGGACGGCTCCTTCGTATGGAGCTCAACACTGCAAGGATACATTCTGTCCTCTTTCTTCTACGGCTACGTCATCACGCAGATTCCCTTCGGTATATTGTCTAAGAGGTAAGCAGTATGTAAGAAACAGAAATACGTCTTTTACTAATTGAATTAAACTTTATTGGACACTGTTCTTTTATTATTCTTTGTTCAATGTATCAAATATTGGATATTTATTCAGGTTCGGTGCGCGTCTGTTTCTGGGCGTAGGAATGTTGATTAACTCTGTGTTCGGTCTGCTGGTGCCTGTCGCGGCTGAGGCGGGCTACGAGTGGCTCATCCTCGTGCGATTCATCCAGGGCCTGGGAGAGGTGAGACAAACTATCAAATATTGACAGACAATCATGATGAGTCTCCAATAACAGATTTGAAAGTTTTTTTATTTTTTATTTTAACTAAACTTTTTTGATTAAGAATTACATTTCCGAGTTCAGACTTAAACTGCGTAAAACATTGTTTGGTTTTAAGAATCAAAATCTGTTCTGTTCTGTTCTATCCAATAGAAAAGAAAATGTTAACCGTTTATTGTAGGGTCCGATTGTGCCGTGTTCGCACGCCATGTTGGCGAAATGGATTCCACCCAACGAGAGAAGTCGGATGGGTGCTGCTGTATATGCCGGTAACAATTCAAACATTATTTAATATAATTTCATGTGAGTAAAATGTAAAGGCCAGTTACCAGGATATAATAACTTGCAGGAGCTCAGTTCGGCACAGTAATATCCATGCCGCTGTCGGGTCTGCTGTCGGCGTACGGGTTCGCCGGCGGCTGGCCCTCCATCTTCTACGTGTTCGGACTGATCGGTACGGTCTGGTGCCTCGCCTTCCTCTTCCTCGTCTCCGAGGACCCTGAAGTCTGCCCCAGGATTAAGGAGGCGGAGAAGAAATACATTCTCAGTTCGCTGTGGGGTGCTGCTGGTTCCAGCGTAAGTAACATTTATTCTCTTTGTTAAAAGATTCTGAAGGACAGATTTTTGTTTGCCATTATTTTATGTTTCATGAGGTCCTGGTACTTTTTATAATATAATACTAGTTTCTTGTATCTTTTATTAATAATATGGATAATCCAGTCTCCGCCGATCCCCTGGTGCAAGATAATCCTGTCGATGCCGTTCTGGGCCATCATGTTGGCGCACATGGGACAGAACTACGGCTACGAGACTCTGATGACGGAACTGCCCACATTCATGCGACAAGTTCTTCACTTTTCTATCAAGGACGTAAGTTGTTTTATTTGTGTATTTATATATTTTTTTGCTCGAAAACGATTCCATGAATCTTCATACCAGAATTGAAATTGTTGAATGCAAGATTAATCGTATAATAAAATAAAAACATCGCGGTAACAAGAAGGTGCGAGTTATTTTTACTTCAGATATAAATCAATGGGAGGTCTCGCGTTAATCAAATATCTCGCAGTTCAAGGGTTGAGTTCAAACTCGTTGACACAATGAATCATTGCGCCCGATAATTGTTCCTGCGAATTGGAATTCGATCAATTGAAGAACAAAAATAATTAACTTTTTTAAAAGTAATGCAATGATTTTACTTTTTAAGGAAAATATATTATTTTTAATTAATTAATTCATAACCATTATTATATACTAGCTGTCGCCCGCGACTCCGTCCGCGTGGATATATAAAAAAACTTAGTATATAGATAAGTTAAATGAAAAGCAGCTCTTCAAGGCATAAATTCGAAAAAAATGAATATATAGTATCCTATGTCCGTCTCCTGGCTCTAAGCTACCTCCTCACCAATGTTCAGGCATATCGGTAAAGCCATTCTTGAGTTATAAATAGTGTAACTAACACGACTTTCTTTTATATATATAGATTTGCAATAATTGTTATCAGACTTCGATTAAATAAAATCCATCTGACTTATACTCGTAAATAGAAATCGAATTTAGAATGTATTTGTGTGTATTTCAGAACGGTTTCGTGTCTGCGCTTCCATATCTGTGCATGTGGCTCTTCTCAATGTTCATCTCCGTGGTGGCGGACTGGATGCTGGCCAGCGGCAGATTCAACCACACTCAAGTCAGGAAGATCATCAACAGTATAGGTGGGTTTAGTTTGTTCGTACACATGAGTTTCGTGTTATAGCATACTGATAAAAAATTGTTTGCAGATACAAGATTTTGATGATTTTTAGCAATTCCCTCCTTACCTTATTGTATTAACGTCTGGGTTTAGCGGAATACTTTTATACCGAGGAGAGTTTGTGGCTCAGGGGTCCAGCACTTGACTTGCAATCTGCAGATCCTGGGTTCGAATCCCGCAATGCACCAATGTGTTTTTCCATTTCCGATTTACATATGTACGTTTATCCGAAGTTCTTACGGTGAAGAAAAATATCGTGATGCTGCACATATCTGAGAAGTAATTCAAAGATATGTGTGAAGTCAATCAACCCGCACTTGGCCAGCGTGGTTGACTATGGCCTAATCATCCTTAACTTATGGTAGAGTCCGAGCCACTCGGTGGGGACTTATAGGGACGAGTGAGCTGATGATGACGATGATAATGATGTTTATACCACCACGGATCAAAGAACAGCAGTTAATTTCATTTAATAATTTAAATCTGATGCGTACAAATAATATTGTATTGCTTATGGTATGTAAATATGACAGGTGAGTACGGTCCCGCCATCGGACTGTTCATAGCGGCGAACACAGGCTGCAACCCCGCCGCCACTGTCGCCATACTGGCTGTCGGCGTCGGTCTCAATGGTGGTATCTACTCTGGGTTTAAGGTACCTTTCCACTATACTTTGCTTATCCCATTCCTAGTCGAATAATAAAAATCATCGTGATATATATTTTTTCTTAAAGATGCTAATGTTCATTATATTTCTTTAATTTTCCTTATATATCCTGAACTGTATGTAACTATTTCTTCAGGTGAATCACTTGGACATATCCCCGCGGTTCGCGGGCATCTTGATGTCCTTCACGAACTGCCTCGCGAACCTGACGGGCTTGCTCGCACCTATCGTAGCTGGATACATCATTGAGGGCAGGGTAAGTACACTATACTCATTATAAACAGAAATAACACCCAACTTTAACGAAGCACTTAAATTTAATTCAGAAATAGAGAAAATTAAAAAACAATAAAACCATTTTTTATCTAGGTACAGTCACTTTTGTAAGCGGTATGCAACTTACAGAAAAATGTCCTCGCGTGTACCAACAAACTTTAGACCCCTTTCATATTGTTATCGATTGAAAGCGTATAAGATGTTAAAAATGCTATCGGTTTAGAAGTATATAGAAAACGAAGCTCACTGTACATGTATTCTGTTATTAAGTAATTTCGACGTTATTTGCAGCCAACACAAGCGCAATGGAGAATAGTGTTCTACATCGCGGGCGGTGTGTACATATTCTGCGCGACATTCTACAATCTGTTCGGGTCTGGACAGCGTCAGGAGTGGGACAACCCCGCAGAGGACGACGCACTCGCAAAGAAGGCCGCCGCCAAAAAGGCCGATAAACTCCAGAAGAAAGCTGCCAAGAACCCCAATGAAGCAGAGACCGCGCAATAACAACACTTATGTGATGTGACTGGATAAACCAAACATTAATAATTAAATATGACATTACTATTGTACATTTATATTAAGCGATATTTATTCTGTTACTTGTAGCTGTCAATCTGTAATGTCTGCGATATTTTTAATCTTTGATTGTCATTTTGAAACATAACCTCCTTTTTGAAGTCAGATAAGAAGCTAATGGAATCGTTTGTCTTTAGCCAAGACAAGACGATTATCATTATAAATGTAAGTTATGTAAATTATCAGCAATTTTTTTTTAAATCAGTTTCGAGCGTATACGGGTTTCTGAGTTAGGGTAGACTGTGGTATTAAAAACGGACTATCTAAAATGCTGCTTTTAAATTTTCTTAAATAATTCTAATGAATTCATTTAAATAAAAATATAATCACAAGGCTTGCTAGGCCTAAATATAAATTAAATATTGTCTTTTGGAATCCATAAAGACGCACATCATTAAGGCTGTGATAATCACTAGTAACTGACAAAAGGAAACCCGTATCGAAATTAACCTTGCTAACTATTTAAAAACCGTTATAGTATTTTTTATGTTAAATCGGCTCGAGGGTATACATTTACATATATGTGAAAATATAAATAACTTTGGGTCCAAGATATTACTACATGAACGTTACCGTCCCAGCCAGTGTTTGCTTAATTTTTAAAAATACTACAAATCAAATGTTAAAGTGATTTGTTCAAATGTGCTGGTTCGTTTATTTGACATAAAGAAAAAAAAATGTGCAAAATTGTCCTCGCATTAAAATTATATGTAAAATTTTAATTATTTTATAAAAACTCGAATTTTGTGTACGTTATAATTGCAGAACTTCACTAAAAATTTGTCATAGACTAAGCATCATCATGAAGATAATCTACAAAACGGTGAAAAAAAAATTCTCAATATTATGCGTAAATAGGAACAATTACGTTTTCGTCGCTTAAAATAACTCGAAGTGATTTCTCAAACTTATTAGTTTTTGCTTCTTGGCGCCAATGCATTTAGTCTATGATTTGGAGTTAGTGCCAAACAGAAATGTGTTGTGAGATAATTTAGTTCCCTCCCCGCTTTAAGCGATTCTTGTCCCGTTAGACGAAACCGTAAGATATATTTATAGATTTTTGTTTGTAATGCGTTGTGTCCTAGAGCTAATGTGATAAGTGTTTCATATAATCAATATATTACAATATAAAAATTAGTAATAGTATTATATGACGACCAGGATTATTATAATTAAGTTATTTGATATTACAAGTATTATAAATGTGTAAAGAAATTTTAAGGCTGTCAATACAATTGTCCTCCCCATATTTCCAATTTTAAAGATATTCTAAAGTTAATGTATTTTTTAAATTCGGTATTTATGAATCTTCTACATATATATAAATAGTTAGTACGTATATGTAGTCAGGATTCAAATCCACTACTCGCAAGCTTCACCAGAATGGCCTTAATATCTTTATATGGAACTTTTTGTTATAAACACTTTTGGAATTTTTAAAAGTATTTCTGCTACAAAAGTACAAAACCTCTGTGGTGTGTCAAACACATCGCTATCCATAGTGCTGTGCGAAATAGACAAATGTTTTTTTTGTATAAGCTTTACATTAAAATGTCTGGAAAATATAACAGATGTTTTTAAACATTTGCTTTGTTTTATTTTCATGTATTTACTCCTTTTATAGAAACAAAGTAATCGTGTAAGGGTTCCGTTTTTTTTCTTTCGATGTACGTAACCCGAAAAACCTTCCCAGTTATCCAGTTCCGCTATCGATCGTCAACTTAGGAACTTTAAGTTAAATTAAAAATATACGACATTCAAATACATATATTTATTACATTAAAATATTTATGAACTTAGATAACCATTAGAAATAGGATTGATATTGTATTATTCAACAAAAGCGCTGTGTTGTAAGCTAAACGCACCGGTACCACTTTTGCAGAGTTGACCCATCATAAGGCAGCTCGATGCCGATCGAATGTTGTCCGTCTTCGAGTTCAGAACCGCTTCCTTCAAGAATATAAGAGACGATTCAAAAGACATTTGCTGCAATGGCGACGTCGACGATTCCATACCTTTTCGACTCATTGGCTCGAATATTCCGTTATACGTCATGTAATCAGCTACCAGAGACAAATGTCTCGGGTCCACCGTGATACCATAGACATTGAACACATTTTGGATCTCTTTGATGATAACCTTGTTGGCGGCTTCTATACCATAAGTGTTGGCTATCGCGTGAATATCATTGCTGTACAATTTGTTTATATCTAAAACATTATTATATTTGAACATTTGTAAAATGTTTATACCCTCCGTCTTGAGGTAAAGTACGTCTTTTTCTTTATTCGTGATAGCCCTTTTAATGTTCTTTACTTCATGTATAACCGACTTCGCGGCTGCATCACGTAGAGCCTGGGAAAGATCGACACGCAAGAAACTTATCGGGAATAGAACAGTAAGCTCGCACCACATGTGAGACTTTGTGTCGTATGTATAATTCGTGGCGTTTTGTATACTTCCGATAACGTCGCTCATTACTCTACTATCATCCGGGTTCACTTCACTCTGACTCGCTTCTAAAGCTTCATCGTCGATTAATATAGTTTGATTGTCATCGGGTACAGCTTCGTCGTCTGATTTTTCTTCTTCTTCTGACTCGGGGTCCTCGTATTCCTGCTCTTCCGCTCTCTTTTTTCTTATTCTTACCTGTAAATAAACATCACATGTTTTTTATGGGAATGCAAAAAGAACAAAATAGAATAAAGATTAACATCATAAGCAAAATAAAACTTATTGTTCTTCACAACTTACTTCGGTATTGTCATCATCATCGTTGGGTCCCTCTTCGTCTGAGCTGTCATCATTCACGTCTTTACCAATCGTTTCTTTTTCTTCTGGAACAATCTCCTCGCCTTCTTCGTCGTCATCATTTGCTTTGCGCCTCTTTTTTTCTTTTTCAGTCGCCCATACCACACCGCACGTAGCCTTAGCTTGTTTCCTGATAATACTAAACATTTCAGGGAAAAATTTCTTCATGTGTTTGATAATCTGTGGAGGTTTCACCGCGTACTGAGTCTTGTACTGTGAATGTGGTAAAAACGTGAATTTCAATATAGTTTTCAGTTGCCGCTCTGGATTCGTGACAATTTCACATTCAACATCTATTTTTTCTAAAACATCTGCTACGGTAACCCTGTTCAATTTTTGTCTGAGTCGTTCCGCTTTCTTATTCAAGTTCGGCAAGTTTTGACGGAAAGGTATATCCATGTTAGGAGTTTTAAGCTTTGCGGATGCCGTCATTAGGATTTCTCTTAATCGAGGTATACCCAAAGTAACGTTCATGTCACCTCTTCCAGCGAAGTGAAAGGTATTCAGTGTCATCTGTGTTGAAGGTTCTCCTATGGATTGCGCAGCTAACAAGCCCACAGGCTCTCCTGGCGCTGCCATAGATGCTAAATACTTAGCATTCATAATGTCTACAAATTTATCTTTATCTGTGGTTTCCTTATTATCTGTCTCTTGTCTGCTTTTTAAGTAGCTTTGTATCAGCCCATCTAATTGTTCATTTATCACACCAAATTTATACTCCGGGGAATATTGGCTAATAACCGGATCAGGACACTTTTTCCTTTCGTACTCCTGCTTCTCTTCTTCACTCATAGATCGCCATTTTTTCTCTAGCTCCCAATAGAATGGATCTCTTGTTTGGTCCGTAGGTGTCTCATCAAGTTCAATATCTTTTCTTGCCAAAATTGAAAACTGAGTGAAAGGACTTATTCGAACTTTCTCAAATGGATTACCATGTTTCTTTTTCCATTTCTTCAAGGACTTTTGTGATTTCACAATATCTTTAGTGCTTTCACCTTCCTTGAGTTTGTTAATAGTCGATTTAGAAACCACAGCATTTGAATTAGTGTCAAGAAACTCAAATTGATCTTTCTTGAGAAATTGGCATTTTAAAACGTCTAGCCCATCTTCTCCGTAAGCTACCTGAATAACACTCCCATCTGAATCTCTGACAGTGTAATCATAAGATACAGCAAGACCTTCCAAATGTTTTATCAAGCACCTTTGTAAGTAACCAGATCTACTAGTTTTGACAGCTGTATCAATAAGACCTTCACGACCCGCCATGCAGTGAAAGAAAAATTCTTGAGGTTGTATTCCAGTCATAAACCGGCCATCAATAAATCCCCCAGCTCTAGGAGAGAGGTCATAAGGCAAAAAGCTGGGAAGCGACCGTCCAGATATCATCAATGGCGGACGTTTTCCTTCCAGTTCAATTTGTCCGAGCAAGCATGAAATTTGCATAGTGTTTACTGTTGACCCTTTCGCTCCAGACTGCACCATCAATTGAAGATTATTGTAGGGAAATTTCTCCAACAAACCTTCAGTTAAACAAACTGTATTGATTTTGTTAGTATAAGAATCCAGTGCACTCTTGTACTGCCTATCCAAATTAGGTCTGAATTTAGGATCTTTTGTCAGCATCTCCCCAATGGTTTCTTTAAGTGTGTTTTCATCAGCATCGACTGGGAGATCCGTTGCTTTAGCAGCAGCGACCTTGCCAACCTGACGAACCAGGCAAATCAATTCGTCACGCTTTTTATTAGCTTCTTCAGTAACCAATATGTCTCTTACACCAAGTGTAAATCCCAACCACTGCAGATAAAAAGTAAATACTTTTGAAAATGCACTTAATAAAGCACTGGAATATACACCTCCATACAATTCATACATACAATGGACTAAGCCGTATGGTGTAGCACCATAATGAGTCTTATCTAAAACTCCACTCAGAAGTTCACCTTTTCTGATGATAACTTCAGCTTCTGACATTGTGTTTGAATCTTTGAATGGAGTGCCACCTGCATTCCAGGGTCGTGGATTTTCTTTCTGCCATGCTTTTGCACTAATCTTAGCCTTTCCTGTCAATGTGATGTATGGTTTTCCTTTAGGTATAATATTTATAATAATGGTAGATAAAATTTGTTTACCGGACCACAGCATTACTGGTTTGAGAATTGTTGGCGGTAACAATTTGATCTCACCCTTGTGTTTGGATAGAGCTTGAAAAACTAATTGCTGATAGTCTGCCTTTGTAAAAAACGCGCCTCTTATTGACATTTTCACTCCAGAAATAACATGATCTTGAATTAATCCACTAAGTGGGGTCCCATCTTTTGGTACAAGATACTGATGAATTACTGACATTATGTTGTAAGCCTCACTTCGAGCTATTTCGTTCTGAGGAAAATGGGCATTCATTTCATCACCGTCAAAATCGGCATTGTAAGACTTGCAGTTAGCGTAATGTAACCTAAGAGTTTTTTCTCCTTTGAGTATCCTAGCTCGATGTGCCATCATACTGGGTTTGTGGAGAGATGGTTGACGGTTCAAAATTAATGCATCACCATTAACAAGATGTCTATGAACTATCTTTAATCCCGCCGTTTTGTATTCATCGGGAGTTAGAAGTCTTTTAGCTAGACTCTTTCTCTTTTCAATGGAGTCTGGAGGTATTCTGATAACTCTGCCATTTTTTATTTCAATCTTTTCTGCACCTGGGTGTTTGTTTGGACCATTTATTACCATTTTTCTTAACTCATCAACATTCCATTCAGTCACAGGTACGGGGTAAGTGAGCTTTGTGGCAAATGCAGCGGGTATACCAATTTCATCTATGTCTACATTGGGATCAGGAGTGATAACGGATCGAGCTGCAAAATTGACTCTTTTACCCATCATATTCATCCTAATGACACCGGTCTTCTTTTCAATAATCTGTTTTAATCCTTGACTTATAGTTTGGTCCTCACAACTGAGGAGGTAGTTCACTTGTTTTTGTAAATCTTGCCAGATTGTATGCAGCTTTTCAGGAGGTGACTTGCCCATAACACTTTCATATGCTTGTCTTGGATTTGTTTCAAGACCATCAATTGCCTTCTGTTGATCGGATGATGAAAGGACTTGTAAAATAGCTCTCGCTTTGAATGATGAATGCAGTATACTTTTGTAAACATTTGTCTGAGGATGTTCCAGTAGTTCTCCGCGTAATACGTTGCATGGTCTAACTGATGGTGGCAGAACAGGCACTGAATGCATGAAAAATATGTCACTAGCGGGCTTACAATTTGAATTTTTCAAAACCGGTATGCAATATGATAGAAGGTCCTCATCATTTTGTGTAATCGCACTACAATAACGTTTTATTTCATCAGGCATCAATATTTTAATACCTTTCGTATCATCTGATGTCATATTGTACATGATTTTATTATCAGACGTAGTCACCTTGATCAGTTTGTTTCTACAGTACATACATGTCTTTGTAATGTTTATGGCTTTGAAGAAATTGTTGATTACTTTAGTTCGTAACTTATCAGTATTTTTACTTTGAAAGGTTTTATTAATAGGATCTTTTGTTTTCAATAGTTTTTGACATCTTCTTACAAGTTTGTTAGGCTTATCAGGAGAAGTTTCACTGTTAAAATTTTTGACATCGCCCACAACATTCTCTAAGTCTAAGGCAGCAGTAACATGGCCCGCCTCAATCAATTCCAATTGTAATTTCAAGATAGATTTCATTTTATCATCCATTTGGATTTTGAAGCACTTCAAGCAGCTGATCCGGAATAATATATAAATGGTTTTGATAAATAAAGGATTGACAACCACCAAAGGCAGTTCAATATGTCCAAAATGGCCAGTGCAGTGTAGCATAGTATTTGAACAAGTTCCACAAAAATCATTTCTGTCTCTAACGGGGCCCAAAGTAGTATCATAAAGACCTCCATTAGTAGCATTTCCCAATGAGTCAAATGAAATTGGGTTTGTTATTTTTAGCACACTTAATTTCTTTATATCTTCATCACTGAACATGAGAAATTGTACTGAATCAAGATCAAATGACGCCAGTTCAGGCACGGTTGAAGTAAAAGTGGTATTTAATCCCATGGTGGTATTTAAACTTCTTGTTTTATAGTTTTATATCTTCAAATAACCTCTACTTTCACACTAGTTGACATGTAACATTTAAGCAGATACACTATGCTACGTTTCTAATAATGGATAAAAATCATTTACATTTTGGAGCTTTTACCGGATTTGACAAAAATCATGAAACTTCCACATAAAAGTAATAACAAACATGAAAATTAGTGAAAAGTCAAAACCACATGGAAATAGAAATGATGGAAACAAAAGTGACAGTGACAGACTGATAGATAACACAAACTTTTTTTACATAACCAAGGTACCCAAGTCTAATTTTGAAGCAATAACTAACGAAAAATTCTTTTGTTGAAAAGAAAAATATAATTGTTATAGAAAACAAACAGTTTCAATTATCTTTATAACAATTTTAATCATAATGACCATGTTAAAAAAACGAAAATATTCAATTTTATTTTTTTCATCAGGCATAAATTTGATTTTTCATCTGTTACGCCTGTAATCAGTCAGTCAACATGGCGGCCCAAGATGAAGTTGACGTATGTGAAAGTTGGGAGGACATGGACGATATTGGCGTAAGTTTTATTGGGATAAAGACTTGAAAGAATGTCCCGCGTCTACGCCGGCCGCCAGCAAAATCGTTGCACACGCATTTCTTTGTTTCAGTTAGACAACAAGATCAAACTAATGTCCAGTGTTCCTGCCCCTGTGAAATCTACTCTGAAAGGTTGCAAGGTTACTAACGTAATAGTTGATGAGAGCGCGTGTATCGGATCTCAGTGCATGATGCCGGAGCCAGCAATTCGTATACTGAAAAGACCGTCAAGTCTGTCGAGCGGCCAGCTGAACGGGGAGAGTCGCGCGCGTCCAGTAAAGACTTTAGAACAAAGGCAAAAAGAGTACGAACAGGCTCGTTTGCGAATACTAGGCGAAGCGCGAAGCCCTGAGGACGTAATTGACGATAAGTATGTTCACATGTTATTGTTTACATTCATAACTTCGTTACTTCTTACCAGTTTCACAGCCATATACAGTGTTTTGACTTTATGAACTAAAATTAAATGGGAACTAGTGTTACTAAAATAACTTTTCAAAATATTGTTACAGTTTGACACGGTTGCAAGAGAAATTCCAAGCCAATAATATCAATGACACCCAAAGTTTGAGTAAAACAAAAAACTGTCAAGCAGACAATGCTAAAGGGAAAGAAAGGAAGGTTTTAGCTCGGTTGCCAGGGGGAGCCACTACAACTGGGATATTCCCGTCCCCACCACCTCCTGGAGTCTTAGTGATAAGAACACCAAGAGGTCCTGATGGTACAAAAGGTTTTCTCCGGAGGTAGCATTGACAATGTAAGATAACTTTCTAAATTATTTAGTTAAGCATCCATCCATGATCAACCATGTCTTCAATTAAATATACTTATGACTACATTTAGTTTAGGCTTCTTTTGTAATAACTTAATTGAATTGTGCTAAATAATTAAATTTATTATAGTTAGATATGCATATAGATGATTATTTAATGGGTTAACTACCACAATTTTACAAGTTACAGTGAAAAATATAAATTTGTTTACTTTTTCTATAAATCTAAAACAAAGTAACCAAGGGTTCCCACATATGTAAGTACAAAAACATAGCCATCATTTAAATTTCTTTTAAAAAACAACTAGAAATAATGTTTTTGTGTACATGTTATATCAATGGAAATCCATGGTACAAACCCAAAGTTACATGTTATAATGAATTTTTATTAAATGAATGAATTAAATGAAATGTAATAAATTTAAATGGTTAAATTAAAATATTGTATCATCTGTAGTCTTGGGCTTGTAAATTCTAGTTAAAAATTTATCAAAAAGTTTTTTAACCCATAAAATTGTCTATAATTTGCATATTTTGTACATAAGTTTTTTGAGTCAATTTCTTTTTTTTTTAAACTAAATGTATGTAGAAAGAATGTTACATATTTTTTGAGCATTTATATTTATAGTTGTAATAAAAGTAAATAGTTTAAAAAAATAATTGTTGATGTTTAGGAACAAAAATTAAAAACATATTGTGGTTTGGGAAATTATTGCTCATATGGGAACAAATTGTAATGTAACAATACAATAGTTATTGTATATAATAGCCATTTATATCATCAAGGTGTAATATCATATGGTATAAAATACATTGAAAATTAATTAAAAGGTTTACCAAATTAATAATTCATCAAATTATTTCTACACTAAATGTTTAAAAAGTATTTGTTGCCTATTTGACTATGTCATTTAGTAACAATTTTTCTATAACAAACTTTGGTTAGTCTTAGAATAATTGTTAATTAGATTTTAAGCATATTTCGATGTGTCAGGCAAGTTCCGTGCTTTTAAAAGTTGAAAGTGTTAACAATAATTGGGTTGTGAACATCGGGATGGTAATATCAACATGAGTTTTTAAATTTTTTAAAGACGGACATGAACAAGTTTGATCTTTGTATACGAACTAATCACCCTTAACTTAAGATAGGCCCCGAGCCCCTAAGTGGGGAAGTATAGTGAGCTGATGATGATGATACGAACATCTAAACAGGGAATTAAGAATGTTAAAATGTTGATATATTGTTAATCAAATTATATTGATGTTAATGACTTAGGCACACATGTTAATCTTGTTCAAAATGAACTGCTTGTCAATGGCCATCGGAGGCCATAGATTCTTAAGCATCAAGACGGTTTGACTAAAAAGTTGTATTGGTTTTTTGCTTTGTTTGTATTTATTAGACAATTTCTTTTTAGTATTAAAAATTAACTCTTCGGAAAGGAAGTTTAGTGGAAATTTCTGTGAATAGTTATTACATATGACAGTTTTATTATATAAATAATGTTTGAACAAAGCTTACTCATTTGTAACTAAGCTTAAGGGATTGTGATATATAAATGTATGTCTTATTACAAGCCTTAACACTTCTAATTATATTTAGACCTAGAGATAATTATTTTAGTGTGCGTTAAATTTTACATTGTTTATATTGTAAATGCTATATAGGACTAAGATTGTTTGATCCACTGTATTGAGAGATATATAATAGAGTGAGATGCATAGAATAGAGAGAAAGATGTAACATTTGAACAACTATAGTGCGACAAAGTTATCTGGCTAAGTAACCACGAGTTTCCGAGATCAAAAACTATCGTCAGCCCTGTCTTTGACAAAGTAGAGATGACAATATGAGACTGAACTGATAGGAATGCCTCTGTCAACCTTGGTTTCTGATAAAATCTCTGTATAAAATATATATGTTTAAAATGGGTATTTTGGTCTTAGAAACCTACGGTCACCGAACTAGAAATCATTGTTTGAGTATTATTTAGTTTCATTTATCCCCACCGGGTTAGATAAGTTTGTCAGTAGGTGACATAAAAGTCATAAGTGACATGACATAACTCAATTCTCTTAATTTGTATTTATCAATATTGGCATTTACAATATGAGCGATGGTTTTGTGTTGTGTTTACAATGCATTTATATTTCATAATGTGACAATACTAAATGGATTTACTTTTTATATCTATGGAAAGGGATTAAGAAAATAGACATGTCACTAAATAGAACCATAGATAATAAAAATTAGTCCAATTATTTATTACTTCTTTTTTTTCATTTATTTTTTTAATGAGGCATGCAACATTTTTAAATGTGAGCTTAGATAAAAACCCTATTTTTGTAAATAGGATCTTTACGATGACTTGAAGATATATTTTTACATAATGGTCATTTTAAACTAAACTTTGTGTAAATATTATATGAAGTACTTTAAATGTTAAGAATGTTATACAAGTTAACACTTTTTTTTATTAAATTTATTTAAGGGAATGTTTCAAATATTGTAGATATGTTAATTTTAAACACGGCTCAGTGACTGCCAATCTAGGCAAATTAACAATTTTTACAATGATAAGTATTTAGGCAAAATGCCTAATAATTCTTATTTTGAAGTTTATATGACGACAGATGTCATTTTCCTAACCTAACCTAAGCTTAATTTGACAATAAATATTTTGACATTTTGTTTGCATATCGTCGTCAAATTGATTAGAAAAAAAACAGAACAAAATGGTTTTTAACCGACTGCTAAAAGGAGGAGGTTCTCAATTGGTCGTATTTTTTTTAAATAGAATATTCGGTAGTGTAATTTCACGCTAAAATATCTACGAATGGTATATCAAACTGATATAAAAACGGCTAAACACTCACGTATATTCGTCCGATGGCGGCACCGACTAGTTTCGAGCCCATCGGGGGCCCTTCATCAGGATGAGTTGTACTGGTATTATTTCGCGGACGTGGCCCGTCACTCACGACGTTTGTGAATTGTGAGTGTTTAGCCGGTTTTTAAATATCAGTTTAGTATAATGTCTCACGAAATTTTGAATAATTTAATGAATGTTGTATCTTTAAAAACTCGTGCCAAAATATATTTATATGTAGACTGATTGACGCCATTATGTATATACTTATTATAACTGTCGTCTCAAGTTAATATCGAATTGTACACAATTGAAGGATAAAACATGCAATAAAGTATGGCAAAGAAAAAAACGTGTTCTGTTTTGAATTTATTACCGTACGTTTTTGAGATCAAAACTCTGTATAAAACATACTGTCCTCTTTGCTTCATTATTTTTGACAAAACAAAGATAACTATTTGTTTTAAACAGATATTTTTGTCTCAGAAACCTACGGTAAGTGATTCTAATTGTTAACTTTAGTATACGAAGATTCATACTCTGAATTTAAAATAGTTTCTTTTAATAAAAAGAAAATATATTTTTGTAAATTTGTTTGTGTCATAACTGGGCCGTGAGTTGTACATAGATGTTGTTTTGTAAGACAAGACTGATGGTTCCTAGTTAGGAAGCTGTTGTCCTGTCTATAGACAAAAGGAATGGTTTTAACACGTGTTTTATATCGTAAATCGACTGTATCCCTCTCTGCATATTATTCTGTAAGTAAATTAGGTTATGAATTTATATTTTAACCAAGAACATTATTAAACATTTGTTAAAAGTATTTATGAGTAATTTTTCTTGTTTTCTTTCTCTAATTGAATCCTTTTCAGCTGATTTCAAAACGATTAAATATACAAACAATCAATCATCAGTAAAATGCATAACGATATGTTTCAGCAGTGGAAACTCACGACAAATTTTTTTGCTCATTCAAATCTTTACGACACCATATCGTCATGAAACCTGGACAAATTACAATAATCATTTATAATCAAACTAAGTGAAATACACACGATCTTGCTGTTTCTATTTCTTTTATTTTAATCTAAACGATATATAGATTCGATTCCACGAGTTTATATCATAAAATCACAGTACACATATCTTTCAGAGACTTTTGTCTTTTAATTAATAAATACTACGCCACTAAAATATTTGTAAACAAATAACTGTTCTGTCTACCTTATTTACACTAAAAGTCAAGCTTTGCGTGTTTACTAAATTACTATGGAATATCCAGCAAGATAATTTATCAAATATGTTAATAAACGCCTCGAAAAACAAGTTTCAACAACATTCTTGGTTCAGTACGACTCAATCGTTGAAACGGTTCACTAGCTTTAAACGTTATAAAATAAATATCAAGTAATTATGTCGGGATTAGAGAACTTAAGTGAGAGAGACAGGGCGGTGTTGAGAAGTATATTCGACCCAACAGCGGTCATCGGTGATGTTGCCGATGATGAAGATAATTTCCAAGATGATGAACCAGGTATTTAACAACTTTTAGATAATTTAATTTGATGCTTTGTTTTTTTTTATATCTTCTAAACAAATAAAGAACTAACTTAAGCTAGAGCTTTTGTAAGTCATCTTATGTTATGTTTAATAAATACACAAATGTGACGGAATGTAAAAAAAAAATTGCGCTGAAAAATAATTGGTCAGGACTTTAAAGGTAAATTTTTATAAAAGTTCTAGTAAGAAATTAGGAGAATAGCTCACTACAACAAAATAATTACACAATTTAAAGTAACTTCTTTTTTAATTGGATTTGTAAAGTCTAACACTTATTTACGTTCGGAGAAAGCGGAGATATAATATGTTTTTATACCGGTGGTAGAACAGTGGAATTTCACGGTAAGGAAAAAATTGACCAACACTATTGCATCAATTCCATAAATAAATTCATAACTGATCCTAATCACAACTTCTGACACAAATATATATGCATATTTTATTGCACTGTTCGTGCTTGATACTTGTGCTTGAGATTACAACGAGGTAACTTAAACTAAAGATTTCGTAATATTTTTCCCCTTTTAAAATTTTGATTTTTTATGTCAACGTGCGTCCTTCAAGTTTTAGGAGTTACTGATATAATCTTTATTACCAGAGCCATCAACACCAGAATATTTGGAATCAAAGTCGCTGAGATTCCACGGTGCACAGTTGGCTGAAGCCGGCAAACTGGAGGAAGCCTTGGAAGAGATGAACAAGGCAGTGAAAGCCGCGCCGGAGAGCCCCGCCGCCTACAACGACAGGGCTCAGCTGCTGCGGTTAATGCTGAAAGACGATGGTACAAACAAACAATTGACTGACACTAATTTTATAAAGCTATTCATATTATACTTTACGTTAATTTTACGCAAAATATAAACATCTGCAGCTTTGTTTAGGTTCACAGAAAACCAAATATAAGAGGAAAGATACCAAATTAGCTCGAAGCTTTTTTTACTCAATTAAATATAATATTTTATTTCTTTTTATTGGTCAATTAGACGAAAACCTGTTGGGTCGATTACAAAGAGCGGTATAAGGATAAAGATAATTGTATTTAATCGATTTATAACCTTTGGTTTTATTTTCCTTAACTTCTTTATTCTGTAAATTCCAAGAGGAATTTAGTGTGTTTGTTTTGATTCGTATCATGTTATGATTTATGAAATAATTACGTACTGTTGACATTAAATTAAATATTGAATTTAATGCATTTACTTATGTTCTTTATCGACTAGTAAACTTGCGTCATATAGTCTAGAGTTTCTTATAGTTGTTTTACTCGTAAATTCCGATCAAAATTTTCCTGGTTTAAATAAACATTTCTACTATGAAACTTTAACTTTGCCGCCATCTAACATCTCCGCCGGGTCTTGTTCAACTCTGGATCAAGTTAGACTACTTTCGAGGGTTATACAATGATAATGAAATGCAACTCTATCTTGTCCTTGCCAGAGGCGATGTCGGACTTAGATCGAGCATTACAGTTGACAGCGGGCCAGCGGTGCCGTGCGCGCGCGCTCGCGCTCTGTCAGCGCGGCGTAGTGCTGCGCAAGCGCAGAGCAGACGACGAGGCGCGCGCTGCTTTTACAGAGGCCGCTACTATCGGTAGCAGCTTCGCTAAGAAACAGGTAAGTATACATAATACTGGAAATAAATACCTATTTATAAAACAGAGATCTGAAATTTTATCAATAATTATTTTTATCGACGTAAAAGTGGTGGTTGTATTAGTATTCATACATTTTTTTTGATTTCTAAATACTATTAGATTTCTCCTCCATTTTAAATTTCCTTAAGAAAGGATAAACATAGATTTAGTTTTCTCCATTAATCAAAAATTGTCATGTCCTTTTATTTTGACTTGATCCGTTAATGTGTTAAACTTAAACATTATCATGTTATTTATGTTTTTGTATCTATCAGGTGGTGGAAATGAACCCTTACGCCGCTCTCTGCAACCAGATGCTGAGTCAAGTGTTGAGGGGGGAGAAGGAGATCAAACTATAAAAAGATCTGTATAGATATATAATTATATATTTTGTTATGGCTCGTTTAGATGCATATATGTATTATAATAAATTCTAAGTAATTCAGAGTTTTTTGTATAAAGAGAATATTCCTCCTCTGGAAACTACTGTTTTAGAAGTTGGGATTTCTCTCAAAAATCTACGAGCGCTAGAGTCGCGGTATAAAAGAGTTGTCCTGTGTTTAAGTTATTTGAAACATTGAAATTTTATGGGAAAACTCTTTACATTTCTTAGTTCTTTAGTGTAAATAGGAAGGAATATGAATAAAACACACGAGGAATCTAATGATTTAGAAATTTATTTTATTGAGTACAATCCATCATCAATTCGAAATTCTAAACAAACCATAGACCTTAACAAAGGTCTGGCCATCGACAATCACTCCGCGAAACCCTAAAAATGACGATTTGACGAAACGACATTTGAAAAATGACGAATTTAATACTACAAATCGAAATACTGTTACGAGAATAATATAAACACACGAAAGGTCACGTGACATTACCACAAGTTCAATGTTAAAATTTGATAATATTAAAATCTTATAAGAGGCGACAATGGTACAGTCAGCTGCATAAATATGTATACAAACTTTAAAAACTAGTATACGCTTCGGTTTCGAAAATATATTCAGCGCTTCCATCTATATTCTTCGGACCATGACATATCATTGACGAATTAGTTCATACGTATTAGTGAAAATGAAGACCTATACAAGTTTCTAAAATTTTATAAGTGTATACATATTTATGGAGCTGACTGTACGTACGCAAATACAAAAGTGCACTTTTATTTTAATAATATCAATCACGTGACACAGTTTTAAGATATTTTTGTACAGTTTTCCAAGAATGGTATTTTTCAGATTGGTTGAAAAATACCTATAGTATTAAGTAATTACGAACAGATTTTATGTTTAAATGATATTTAAATTTCAAACCAATTATCATCATGGAACATAGAAAATAACAAGGTGTTAGTATAAAGTATGCGAACGGTTGGAACCTTTGATTTCTGAGACCTAAAACTCTATAAAATCTTGTCTGTATCATATTGTCATCTGTCATTATCCTTGACAAAATAGATATAGCAATACGTCTTAAACAGGCATTTTGGTGTCAGAAACCCGCAGTTAATGAATTATAAAACGGAAAAGGAGGTTTAATATCAAAAACTATTTTGGCACATATTCCAAAAATACATTGAAGACGTTTTCAAGATTTTATTGTGACATTAAGGTGGTTAAAAACTGTGTCACGTGACGCGTGAAAAGTATATCACAGAGAGTTGTTACACAGTGAGAATATCAAAGACCGCGTTTTTTGCTACATTAGTTTAATTTTAATCGATTATTATAAATGTAACTAGATGGCGCCACACGTCCGATATTGTCAAATACTAGGATTGTGAATAATGGAGAAATACTAAAAGATAATACAAATGTGCCAATTTCAAGTTATATTACATGTTTAATCGTAAGTTTCCGAGACCAAAAATGTCCATAAAAATTATGTTTTATACAGAGATTTTGGTCTCGGAAACCAACGGTAAGTCGAACGCGTTTAAAAATTCATTTAGAAATAGTTGGCAATATATTTGACGCGTTATTTTAGTGAATACAACTCGAAAGTGATATGATTTTTTAAATGAATGCAAACGTGCCATAGATGCAAAAGTCATCGATTGTTACTAGTGATGTACTTTCGTCAATAAAAAAAGTCAAACGTCAATGTCAAATGAGAAAAACTTAAATTATATTAATACTGATTATTGAATCGGGGGTAACTGTTGTCCGTTTACATCACTAGTAACTGTCAAATAACATGACAAAATACTGTATACTATTAACTACATACATTGGAAAAATATTTTAAATATAATTTTGGCACAGGCGACGTGCGTGGTATGCGAAGACGTCGAATGTTAAATGTTAAAAGATTTATTTTATAATATTTATTAGAAATATGCTAAAACCTGTATTAACTACGGGCTTATTCTAAAAAGAGTGAGTTTAGGCCTATTTAGATATAAATGGCTGGTCGCTTAAGCTAATTTTTTTTTCGCGATTTTTTAATAAAAATAAAGGAGCACAGATAACAGTGATTTACAGAACAAACTAGTGCGTGATAATATTTTTAATCTATGCTTAATAATATCATCTTTTTTTATTAACTAATATCTCACTGAACACAATACGAACTATTAATAAGTAGTTAATATAATTTATTATAAGAATATACTTTTAACACAAATACTTTAAATAAATAAAAAATGCAATGATATAATTTACTTAAAAAAAAATAGTCGATATGATGGATATTTTGGCGGGATTTTGAAATGTCAAATTTGATTTCTTTGACACACGGTCTTGTAATTTCAAATTCTACGCGTGTTTTGTTTATTTTTTTCTCATCAAATTTGAATTTAAAAGCATCCAAGATTTGTATTCGGCATTGGTCTAACGTATTTGAACGAAAACTTTAGTTTTTTTTATCCCATTCATTTTCAGTGTTGCCGTATTTAATGATGAATCTCCATAAATATTGATAAAAAAAACAATAAATATTTTATTTAAATGTAAATAAACTTTTAAACTCAACAATATTTTACTAGCAAATGTGAGACGTTTAATATGAACTAAGAACGTCTTTTTATTTTAATTTTTTTTTAGCTATTTATATTAAACAGTTAAATATTTGATATATTTGAATAAAATCCAATAAATTAGTTAAAAAAAGTGATCAAGAAGCTTATATAAAATGAGCCGATTTATAAACAAGATCTTATTTCTATGAAATGATTCTAGATCTTAGCAAAACATTTTAAAAACTATATTCTAAACTAAATAAAGTGCAATAATCGCACCAGATCTTTTTTTAGACAGTTGTCTCGCTCTAACAGCTTATATTTCCGGTGTTGCTGTCTCTTTTCCGCGGAGACTTGGGAAATTTTAGTATTAAACTAGCAACCCTAATTAAAAATGAATAACGAATGACTACTTCTAATTTCTTAGAGATTGGTGTTTGCAGTTTACAGTAAAGTGCTCTTTATTATTTATACTTATAATTATCTAAATTTGGAAATTTTAAATGAAATTTAATCTGTTTTGAATCAAAATAGTTTTATTTGATTTCACCAAAGCGCTTGCTAGCTATTATAGTTTTTAGCGTCGTTTAAAATTATAACTTTTGTTGCGTTAATACATTTTTTAACACATTCCATGCCATTCCGATTTTCTCTTACGAGTGTGAACTTGCGTAGTGAAGTTATTGGCACTGAAAGTGTTAATTTTATCAATATTTCTTTGACATATTAGTAAAATTATTTCCGGTTTTTATTAATTTGCATGTCAAAAATTTGTTTAATTTAGTAGCATATTTCTGTATTTACTTATTTCTTTTTTAATGTAAGTCACGCAGCAAAAATTATAATTTAAAACTTCTGCATTTTCCTCAAATCATTTGATTTTGGGAAAAACAGGTTATAGCCGCGGTATTTTGTGCATATTCTCTTGCATTTTTAATATCATAAGGTAGGAAGCAAAAGACCACGTGAATTTAACAAAACAGCGAAGCGACCGCTGTTAATAAACATCTCCAATTGCCTATCAATTGGAAATAAGAGCTTTTGCTTTGTCCCTATTTAAAATCGCCTGTAAATGATTCTGATAGTTCTAACCACAATCATTAGTTCGATTTCTCACCACCGCTAACAATCTTTACAATCAGCGCCAAAATGGGGATCAAATAGGCACAAAATTACACGGCTCATAGCCTGTCCAGTAGATTACAGATAACATTGGTTGTTGTATTCAAATTGAATCTCTCCGCATGTATCTTAAAATTACTCCTAGATTTAGTAAACACTTGTATAATTTAATTTAAATACGCGTAATAAGATCGTTTATTATCAGTTACATTTTTAATTTAGTAATTTTTTGTAAACATTTAAAAGATTCTTAAAACGATTATGAAGTAGATATTTTTATTGCTTTTATTTTCAAAACGCTGGATATGCGCGATTATTATTATTTTTTTAAATTTTAATATAATATAAAAAAAGCATTTTCTAGTCGCGATTAAATAAGCAGGAAATGAGCCAATATACTAAATTTAATAATTATTATACTAAATAGTAATAATTATTAATAATAATTAAAAATACTATACGATGAGACTTTTCGCCGCGAATGTACCGCAACGGTTAAAAATTCAGCTATTTTATTGGAAACTTTAAACATGGCAACATTTAAATGTCCCATTAAAAAATAAGAGCTATTAATTGACTAGAAAACAAAAAACTATTTTAACAAAGTTGACAAAAAAAAATTTTTTTTTTGCAAGTAATTTTTTTAATCTGTTATATATTTTTTTCCAATAAAATAGCATTTAAAAACATTTGAATGAATAATTTAAAAAGGACCTACATTTTATTACGATCGATTTAGAATTCAATGCTTTCTCATTTTTTTAATACACAATTATATTTTATCTATACAGTAAAGAGTACAATATGTCATTTAACTTTACTATTTTATCAACAAGATAAAGTTAGTCTACTAGTTAATAAGGCTATTTTAGTAAACGATTAGTGAACGAAAGCAACACGTACTGTAGTGTGCTTAAACAAAAATAAAAATAAATGATGGAAAAGAAAACACCCTTTATAATCACGAGTAAATCTTATAAACGATAAAAAAAAGTTTAAACACACCACAATAAGTGATCGAAATGTTGAGTAAATCCTCTCATACACACAAGCACAAGACAAGCTCCTAAAATGTATGATTTCATCATACAACTCACACACTCATACAAAACAACGATAGTTTGTATGTAAATATGATTAACTGCAAAATAAAACAAAAAAAACATATCGTTATAGACTATGTAAACATAATTTCTTAAATAAATAATATAGCAAAATAATTATATACATTTTTTTATAAAAAAAAACTACTATTAAATACGAATATTTAACGAGATTCTACCAATTTATAACATATAAACAGAATTAAACTTATTCTAATATAAAACGGAATAAATATATTTTAAAGTTAAAACAGAATAAATGTTAAAATCTCATCCAAACATCAACAACACGACACATAAATCTAATTATATTTAACACT